TGGTGAAATACTGTTTCAAAAACTAAAAACCTAAAACCATAAACAAACAAACAAATAAAAGAGTAAGAGAGGCTGAAACATAGCTCGGTGGGATGCTGACATAGCACGCACACATCCCTTAGATTAATCCTTCAATCTATGCTATGAATAGAGAGAGAGAGAGAGAAGGGATGGGGCATATGGAGGAGTAGTCTTGTTGATAAAGTCTGACTTCACCTGGGTTGAGCAATGGCCGATCATGCACTCTGGACCTGGCCTAAGATTTATTCCCCAAATCTAGAGTTTAATGGTACTCTCCTATATGATGAGTACTAGAAATACAGAGAAGCCCATACCTTGGATTCGTGCATCATTTCCCTAACGGTGCCTGAAATGTGTTGAAGAATGTAGAGAATAAAATTGAGCTAGTGAACAAAAACGTGACAACCCTGATTATATAACTACTAACTGCTCAGTTTCTAGGTGTTATCTGTCTGCTTATGATTTCAAGGCTGACCACTTGGTGCGGGAAGACAATGTCTCCCATTCTCAGCATTTCTTAATGGCCTATATGTTCTTTGTTTGTGAGTGAGGCCGCTGAGATTCCCCTCTTCTGTGCTGGCATATCTATTGGTGTTGTATTTGCTCAAGTTTGTTTATGCCAAACACACAAAATTATTCAAAAATTTAAATACAAGAGGGTTCCAAGATGGTGGCAACCTGTGTGTACTGTATCTAAGGGGCAGGAGATCAAGAGACTGCAATACCAGTGAGTAAACACGCGGGTGGATCAAAAACACTGACTTTGATGCTTCCCAGATGAGAGGGGACATTCCACAAGTTGGAAGTGATCCGATCTAGCCCCCCGCCCCCATGGCCATCCTCTGCATCCAGGAGTAACAAACTGTGAGCCCACTGTCCTTTCCATATAATCGAAAGTGTGCAAGCACTAGTTCCAGGGTCGCTCTGCTCCAGCAGCCCAGACATTGGATCCATCCTGCTTCCCCAAGGAAAGAGGGTAGCATCTGGATCCCTGGGACAGCATCCCAACCTCCAAACAACAGTTCTACTGCTCCCCCTGTGGAGACCAGGTGGACAATAAAATCATACAGAATCCCGGATCCAAGATGGTGGAGCCTAGACAAATCTGAGTTTCAGGACAGCAGTGTCTGCTAGGCCTGTAAGCCGCAGCTCACCTGCCTTATGAGGCACCAAAGGCCACTGCCCTTCAAGATACCTATGCCTGTGTCCCCTTCATTCAAGGCACTTGCACCTGTGCCCTACCTTCTGAAACACCCGTCCCAGAGTGGCTGCATTCAAAACGCCAGCACCCATTCATGTTCCCCTGGACCTCTCTTTTCAACCAGAAGACTACGCCATAGTCTAGAGATAGGTGGATCCAGTCTTGGTGCAACTCTTCTAGATGTGGAGACCAGCAGGTCCTTATCTCATGATAAAGGCCCGAGAAACACAGCAGGTTCCAGGAACAAACAGCCAAGGCTACAGAAAACAAGATGGCTAAAGGCCAGCATGATAAATCAGGACATCATGGCTCCACCAGAACCCCCCCCCCAAACAATAGACATTCTATTGCATCTGATACACAGGAATGTGACAATAAACCTATGCTTATACAGTTATTAGAGGCCAGTAAAGAGGAAATGAATAAATCTTTCAAAGAAATACAAAACAATAACAACAACAAAACCAAATAGAGGCCATCAAGGAAAGACAGACAAGAAAACACAACCAAACAGGTGAAGGAAATGAGTAAAACTATTCAAGACCTGAAAATGGAATTAGAATCATTAAAGAAAACACAAACCAAGAAAACACTGAAGATGGAAAACTCATAGAAGAGATCAGGAACCACAGAGGTAAGCATCACCAGCAGAATACAAGAGATGGAAGAGAAAATCTCAGATGCTGAAGATACAATTAAAGAAATCTATACATCTCTCAAAGAAAACATTAAAATGGAAAAGTTCCTGACACAAAACATCTAAGAAATCAAAGACAACATGAAAAAGTGAAACCTAAGAATAAATTGGAATAGATGAAAAAGAAAGAAGATTCCAGGCTCCAAAGTCCAGAGAATATCTTCAAGTAAAATCAAAGAAGAAGAAAATTGCCCCAACCTAAAGAAAGAGATGCCCTTAAACATACAAAAGGCTTACAGAACACCAAATAGACTAGACTAGAAAAGAAATTTCTCCTGCCATATAGCCAACATCAAACTAAATGGAGAGAAAGTCAAAGAAATCCCACTAAAATTAGGGACAAGACAGGTTGCTCATTCCCTCCATATCTCTCCAATATAGTACTAGAAGTTCTAGCTAGAGCAATAAGACAACTAAAGGAGATCAAAGAGATACAAATCAGAAAGAAGTTAAAGTATTTTTATTTGCAGATGATATGATAGTATACATAAGCAACCCCAGAAATTTCACCAGCGAACTCCTGAAGCTGATAAACTCCTTCAGCAAAGTGGCTCTACTCAGCAAAGACTCTACCCAGCAGTGTATCAAAGCAGATGCTGAGGCTCATACCCAAACTTTGGGCAGAGTGCAGGGAACCTTATGAAAGAAGGGGGAGACAGAAAGACCTGGTAAGGACAGGAACTCCACAAGGAGACCAACACAACCAAGAAATCTGGGCCCAGAGGTCTTTTCTAAGACTGGTTCTCCAACCAATGACCAGTCATGGAGATGAGACTGTCTCTGACATGAACTCAGTGGCTGGCTCTTTGATCACCTTTCCCTGAGGAGGGAGCAGCCTTGCCAGGCCACAGAGGGGGAGAGTGCAACCAGTCCTGGTGAGACCTGGTAGGATGGGGTCAGATGGAAGGGGAGGGGGACCTACCTTATTGGTGGACTTGGAAAGGGGCATGGAAGGAGAAAAAGGAGGGAGGGTGGGATTGGGAGGGGATGAGGGAGGGGGCTACAGCTGGAATTCAGGGTGGATAAGTGGTAATTAATATTAAAAATTCAAAAAGAAAAAAGTGGCTGTATACAAGATCAATTGAAAAAACTTATGTAGCCCTCCTGCATACAAATGACAAACAGTCTGAAAAATAAATTAGGGAAATCATACCCTTCACAATAGCCACAAATAATATAAAGCATTTAGAGGTAACTCTAACCAAGGAAGTCAAAGACCTGTATGACAAGAACTTCAAATCTCTGAAGAAATAAATTGAAGAAGATAACAGAAGATGAAAAGAACTCCCATGCTCATGGATTGGTAATTTAACACAGTAAAAATGAACATTTTACCAATGGTAATCTACAGATTCAATGCAATACCCATCAAAATACCAATAAAATTTTTTACAGACCTTGAAAGATAAATTTTAAACTTCACATGAAAAAGCAAAAAACTCAGAATAACTGAAACAATCCTATACAATAATAGGACACCTGGAGTTATCTCCATTCCTGACCTCAAGCTATACTACAAAACAATAGTAGTAAAAACTGCATGGCACTGGCATAGAAATAGACCTGTTGATCAATGGAATCGAATTGAAGACCCAGAAATAAACCCACACACCTAGGCACAGCTGATTTTTAACAAAAAAGACAAAGCTATACAATGGGGGGTGGGGGGAAAGATAGTATCTTCAGCAAATGGCACTGGTCTAACTGGACGTCTACACGTAGAAAAAATGCAAATAGAACCATATTTATTGCCCTACACAAAATTCAAGTCTAAGGGGATCAAAGGCCTCAACATAAAACCAAGTACACTGAATCTGCTAGAGGAGAAAGTGGGAAAGAGCCTTGAACTCATTAGCACAGAACACAACTTCCTGAACAGAACAATAACAGCTCAGGCTCTAAGATCTACAATTAATAAATGGGACCTCTTGAAATTAAAAGCTTCTGTAAAGCAAAGGACACTATCAATACAACAAAACAGCAGTCTACAGATTGGGAAAAGGTCTTCACCAATCCTACATCTGACAAAGGGTTAATATCCAGAATATATAAAAACTCAAGAAATTAAACACCAACAAACCAAATATTCCAATTAAAAAATGGGATACAGAAATAAACAGATAATTCTCAATAGAGGAAGATCAAATGTGGAGAAGTACTTTAACACTTGATCAGTATCCTTAGTCATCAGGGAAATGCAAATCAAAATGACCCTGAGATTACATCTTACACCTGTCAGAATGGCTAAGATCAAAAACTCAACTGACAACACATGTTGGCAAGGATGTGGAGAAAGAAAAACCCTTCTCCATTGCTGGTGGGAGTGCAAACTTTTACAGCCACTTTGGAAATCAAGCTAGCACTCTCTCAGAAAACAGGGAATAGTCATACCTCAAGAATACTATTCCTGGGTATATACCAGAAAGATGCTCCACCATATAACAAGGACATTTTCTCAACAATATTCATAGAAGCTTTGTTTGTAATAGCCAAATAACTGGAAACAATCTAGATGTCCCTCAACGAAGGAATGGATACAGAAATTGTAGTATATTTACACAATGGACTAATACTCAACCATTTAAAAAAAAAAAGAGGAAATTATGAAATTTGCAGGCAAATGGATGGAACTGGAAAAGATCATCCTGAGTAAGGTAACAGACCCAGAAAGACACACATTGTATCTACTCACTTATAAGCAGATTTTGGTCATATGGTACAGTAGAAATATAGTACAGTGCAAAGACCCCAAGAACATAAGTGACAAGGAGAACCCAATGTGGCTGAAGAGTGGGAACAAGGTAGAAGAGGGAACACAGAGCGGAGATCAGACTGGGGACAGTATGGGCAGGAGGGCAGAAGGCCTGAAGAGAAAAGAGAAATGTGGCTGGGGGTATCTTTGCCACAAGCTGCAGGCTTAAATCAGAATAGGCCTCTGAGAGGATATGAAGGGGACTCTAGCTAAGACTCCTAGTAGCAGGGGCCATGGAGACTGAAGAGAACACCCTTTATCTAGACAAGCCTCCTAGTGGATGGATAAAATCACCAACCCACCCACAAAAACTTCAACCCATAACTTACCCTACTTACAAGACCTTCAGGGACAAAGAACAGGTAGAGCAGAGATTGAGGAAATGTCCAACCAATGCCAGGCCCAACCCTAATACCCACCCCTGGAAGAAAGCCAGCCCCTATCGTTATTAATGATACTTTGATATGCTTGCAGACAGGAGCCTACCAGAGTTGTTCTCTTAGAGACTACACCCAGCAATGGCTTGAAACAGAAGACTCACAGCCAAATGCTGGGTGGAAGCATAGGGAGTCTATTGGAAAAGAGGAGGGAAGCATAAATGGACCTAGAGATGACAAAGGCTCCATATGAAGACTATCAGAGCCAATCAACCAAGGCCCATATGGACCTATGGAGTCTGAAGCACCAACCAAGGACAACACATGATATGTACCTAGGTCCTCTACTTATAAGTAGTCGATAGGCATCTTTGGCTTCATGTGGGCGCATTAGTTGTGGGAGTGGGGGATATCTCTGACATGGACTACGTTCCCTGCTTTTTGATCACTTCACCTTGATGGGACTGCCCTAACAGGCCATAGGGGAGGAAGACTAACTCAGTCCTCATGTGGGTAGATGAGCCGGATATCTGGGTAGGGAGCTCCCAGGGAATAGGGAAGGGGGAAGCAGGAGGGAGAGTAGGACTGAGAGGAGAGGAGGGAGAGGGCATGACCCAAATGTAAATTGAATTAATTAATGAAAAAGAAAAAATGTAAATACAAAATTCCTACTGTCAAGTACATTTCAAGGAAGACAGTGGCATTCTTCTTAACTATTCTCATCTGGGCTATCTTCCATCCATAATCTTATAAATACTTGCTTTTATTCTTCATCTGGGCCTTTCCACACCACTACTGAAGTCCATCCTCCAGGCCCATGTGGTTCCTTCTCCATGCTAACCCATCACGGCTTCCTCCTCCTCCTCCTCCTCCTCCTCCTCCTCCTCCTCCTCCTCCTCTTCCTCCTTCTCTTCTTCCCATGATTTTCCTCTTCCCAAAGCTCGGGAACCTTAGCTACACCCATCCCATTCTGGCCGGCCCAGGTTTTAGGGCTTTTAATCAACCAATCAGGTATAATGTCTTAGGCAGGTTTACACAACGATATCTGGGCAGTAACCAGATCTTGAGCCCCAGTAATTAGCATCAAATACAAGCATCAGACCAACCCCCAACATGTGCACATGGAAATATGTTAACTCCCACTGTTGACAATAATACCCTCCTGCTTCTCTTTGGACTTTGACAGCTTGCTAGCTTTACAAAGAAGAGGCAGCCTCTCCTTCAAAGACGGTGAGAGAAGGAAACGACTTAGTGTGGAATCTTTAATAGAAGCTTTAACAAGCTGCATATATATATATATATATATTTAGAAAATTTACTACTATTAGGATAGTTCATCTGAACTAAAAAAAAGCACAGACAGTCTTCAGATTCATGTGACCCTAATATTCAGGAATATTTTTTTGAGGAAGAGTGAGTGAGAAAGGAGGGAAATAACGGGAAGTTGGCTGGGCAGGGAGGTTGAGGGAAGGGAAAGTATATGATCAAAATATTTGTATGAAAAAAATTTAGATTAAAGTTAGATTAGATTTAAAAAATAAAAAAATAAATCTTTGCAAGGCATCCTGTATATGAAGTGTATATGAAAACATGTGTTCACTACTTTCTGCAGTACTTGCTTTATTGAATCAAAGACCTATACAGAAGTGGTATCAGGAGTTGTGATTGTACATAATGATTTCTTCTTTTATTAATTTATTTTTTTATATATTTATTTATTACAATGTATTCACTTTGTATCCCCTCTGCAGCCCCCTCCCTCATCTCCTCCTAGTCCCACCCACCCTTCCCCTTCTCCCCCTATGACCTTTCCCGAGTCCCCTGACAGAGGAGGACCTCCTCCCCTTCTATCTGATCCTAACTTATTAGGACTCATCAAGGCTGGCTGCATCATATTCTTCTGTGGCCTGGTAAGACTGCACCCCACAGGGGGAGGTGGTCAAAGAGCCAGCCACTGAGTTCATGTCAGAGACAGTCCATGTTCCCCTTACTAAGGTACCCACTTGGAAACTGAGCAGCCAATGGGCTTTCTTTGAACAAGGATTCTAGGTCCTCTCCATGCATGGCCCTTAGTTGGAGTAACAGTCTGTAGGCCCAGGTATTTTGGCACTGGTGTTCTCCTTGTGGAGTTCCTTTTCCCACCAGGTCTTTCTATCTCCCTCTTCTTCCACAAGGATTCCAGCTATGAGTCTCAGTATCTCCTTCGATAACCCAAAAGCAGAAAGACATATATGATATATACTATATGATATACACTTACTTATAAGTGGATATTAACCATATAATATAGGATAAACACACTAAAATCTATAGCCCTAAAGAAGCTAAACAACAAGGAGGACCCTAGGGCAGGCGCTTCACCTTCATTCAGAAGGCAAACAGGATAGACATCAGAAGTAGGTGAAGACAAGTAACAGGACAGGAGCTTTTCACAGAGGACCTCTATGAATACCGATTTTTAACTTGGTAGGATCTAGAATTTGTGAGAAGACAAAGCTCTGGGCGTGTCTATGGAATTTTTTTACATTGAGTGAGCTAGTGAGGGAAGATCTGTCCTAAATATGAAAAACATCATCCCATAAGCCACAATTTAATAAAAAGAGAAACACAGGAGCTTGGGGGCTGACTTAGTGAAACTTTCTGCGCAAGCAGGAGGATCTGAGTTCAGCTCCTCGGTGCTCATGTTAAATACTACGTACCTTAGCACACATCCATGATCTCATTGTCGGGAAAGCAAAGCCAGGAAGAGCCAGGAAGCTCACTGGCCATTCTAGGCCATCTCTAGGTTCACTAAGAGACCTGGTTCATAAGCTGTAAAGTGACTGAAGGAAACATCCATGTCAACTGCTGGCCTCTACATGCACACACACACCTACTCATGCATTCACACAAATGTAGAATGCCGCGTATAGAATACACCTATGTCCACACACTCACAAAGTAACAATTATCACGTAAAGGATATTAAAAGTGGGGAACAAGCTAAGCATCTCTGCCTGATGACTGCTGACTGCAGACACAAGGTGACCAGCTGCCTTGCTTTCCTGCTGCCGTTATTTCCTCTCTGTGACGAACTGCACCTTTGAACTGTGAACCAAAATAAACCCTTTCCTGCTTGAATTGTTCTTGTCAGGTACTTCTCCATAACAGTGTGGAAATAGCTAATACAGGGGTCCACCTTCCCCAAATATATGTGGATAAAAACTGCTCCTGCAAAACATGGTCTTTCTTGATGTAGGGCATGAGTCTGGTCACTGGTGTTCCACTCTACACAAAGAATGCTCGTTAGACCCTGCATGTATGTATATGTATATGTGGAATAGATGTGTGAGTGTCTGTTTGAATCAAACAGAAAAAAAAAAGAAAGAGAAAAAAAAAAAAACCTCAAAAGAGATGAGTGTCGCCCTCATTTTCTCCTTCTACCTTTGCATGGGTTCCAGAGATGAAACTCTGGTTTTCAGGCTTGTGTGGCAAGCGCCTTTGTCTGCAAAGACACCTCACCTGTCTTGAAATAGATTTTGTGTGAAGAGTGTCAAAGTAAAATTTAAACTGTGTATGTTAATTTTCATTAAAAAGAGAGAAGAATCCTGTGGGCTAATGAGGGAAGGGAGGCAGCGCCACAAAAACTGCGGCCATATTTGCTTCTGTAGACTTAACAGAATTCTAAAACATCTAAATGCATTTTGTAAAATGTAATTTTTATTTCTGAAGAAGTGATTCTTCATAGAGGCCTCACACATATTGAATAGATACCACTGGCTTATCTCTCCCCTGAATCCTGAAGCTCCCTCTAGTGACTATGCACATATGCCATCTGCAGGTCTAGTAAACACTTTCTAAAGCCTCCTGCTTTAAATAACCTTGCTTCCATATTGTAGAACCTATAATGTTTCCACAAATGTCATCTCATTTAACACAAGTCTTATGTACTCCTCCTAGTCAATACAGTAAACGAAGGCTGAGATGGAGTCTGGTCTTGGCTGGTGGTAAGGAAACTAGGGCTGGTAGCCAGGTCTTTTGGAGTCCATCACACTGCATTGCTGCATTCTCCACAATGAGCATGTAAAGTCACACATGGATATTCACCTAGACGCTGCTATCCTTTCTCCTTAATGGGAACACTTTCAAGAGAGCTACAAATGGGATTCTTGACTTTCAAGATAGTAATTATGGACCTTGACTTAGAACTGATTCCATAAAGTGTCAGGGATTTCTGGACCCAGCAGGACTCCAAGGACCCCAAGTTAAGATTCCTTCAACATCTGAATGCAATCTTGAAATACTGAGAATGAAAGATGAAATTTGAAGTTCTTTACTCTTCCCCTTAATTATGATGTTTCCCAGGCCTATGTGGTTGTCTTTTCAGCCCATATTCAGACCACTGTAAATTATTAAACAAATTAGTATGTATTTGCTAAGATTTAAGAAAAAGTGACTGGTTGCTGCCACCAAGGAATCATAGTACATCTACAGGCATGTCTAAGATTAACAGCAGACTGAGATATTTCAAGAAAAGTAGCAATTTGGAAGCATTCTTTTCAACTGTAAGAACACGCTGCAGACTAACTGGCTCGTTCAGTCTAACTGAAATGGTGACATTGTGAATACAGAAGGGCTTTATTCAGGGAGGAAAACTCAGTGCTGCCTCAAAATTCCTAGCTCTTTTCAACCTGGTATTTCTAATAGCTTTGTAAAAGTCAGAATTTTTTTTTTAAAGTGACTCATTAATTCATCTAAATGTCTCCCCCCATATGCCTAAACCCCCATTTAGTTTTTGTTTGGGGAACAGACTTTTGCCATGTGTCTTAGACTGGCCTCCAACTTGCTCTGCTACTGCCTCTCATTCCTGAGTGTTGGGATCATAGTTGTGTGTTCTTCCTAAGTCTTTTCCATGTAAAGTCAATGAGAGGAGGGACAATGTCTCTATGATTCATTCATGCTCCTAACGGCACAAACTGTCTCTGGCAGTAATGTACATCCAACAAATACTTAGTGACTG